TCTATTGTGTGTTCTGCATATTGCTTAATTTCCTTCCTAATTTCTTGAAGAGTTCTGTATATTAATCTTTTGTATTCTGCCTCTGGTAATTGCAAGAAATTTTCCTCCTCTGGAAAATTTCTAGATTCTTTATTTTGGGAGCTTGCTGAAGCCATCATGGATTGCCTCTTTATGTGATTTGACAATGACTGTTGTCTCCGAGCCATCAATAAGTTATTATATTTATTTATTTTATGTTTGCTTACCGTGTCCTAGCTTCTTGTTTTATTTTGATATGCCCAAATAGGCTGCTCGTATGAGCTAGTTTGATTATTGGCACCTTTGAGGCTCTAATATCCTGTCACCAGGTGGTTAGATCTGTTACTAGGTATGTGAGCTCAGGAATCCGCCCACTCCTCCTGTATGGATTCAGCTCAGGTGCCCAGGTAGAGAGCCACCAAGTGTGTGGTGTAGGCTCTGACTCACAGTCCTAGACAGGCATGGGTAATTGGTGTAGGCACAGGCATCTGGCTGCAGCAGGGGGACACACTCTGAACAAGGCAGGGGGCTGACGGCCACCCCCGAATGTCCAGGAGGAAGGCATGTCCCTGCTCCCTAGAGCACGTAGGTGGGTGGGTTTTGCAGCCAGACTATGAGCACCTAATGCTGTTGGCTGTAAGGACTGGGGGGCATCTCTTATTCATGGGCCCCTACTGCAGGTGGTTAGGTGGTGTGGGTGGAGCCACCAGTCCCCAGGCCCCCAATGTGGGTAGGTGAAGACCCTGCTTAATGGGCAGAGTAGTGTCAAATGTCAAGAACCTGCCACTTCACAGCTGAAACAGTTGAAGTTAGAGCTCCGGTATATACCCTGTTGTACTGTGATAATGAGGGCCTATGCTGTTGAAATGGGCCCACACAAGTCTATGCAGGAGGAAAGGTACTCAAAGTCTGTGGATCCCTTATGCTTGTGCCTAGGCAAAGGAGATTTGCCTACCCTGGGTTCCTGGCTTAGGGGAGCTGGCAATTTAGTTTTCCTCCTGTTTGTTAATTTGTTCACTCTCCAAGGCAGGGAGAATGGCTCTGGGCATGTGACGGATCCTACTTCTGGCCTAGGGGACTTGGCGATTGCTGAAGCCAGTCCAGGACCCAGTGCAGAGTAAGGAGGGGGGAGGTAAATGGGAGAGAGGTTTTTCCCTAAGGGGTGTGTTTTTGATCCGCACGGTAAGCAGTATGCAAGTACTTATCTTTCGTAGAGGGCTGCTTCTCACTGGTTCTGGGTGGCTGTGTAGACTCTCAGCGGGTGGGTCTCTCCCAGTGCGGAAAATGTGCCTCCTGAGCATGGCTGCTTGCCTGCCTCACTGCTCACCCTCAAGCTCATCAGGCCTGACGGGCTTAGGCTCCCGCCTGGTCAGGTCTGGCAACTCCTCACTGCTTTCGAACCGTCTCTTCCTCCCCATGCCACTCAGTCCAGTTCCCACCTCTGCCTTTGATGTTCATGGCTCACAGATTGCCATATATAATTGAATCACTTGTTTTTTTTGGGTCTTTGTTGTAAGAGGGTCCACCGGAAGCGTCTAACTACTCTGCCATCTTGGCCCTGCCTCCAAGTTTTAAAAAATTTTGATGAAGTCTATTTCTTATTTTGCTGCTTGTGCTTTTGGTGTCATATCTAAGAACCCATTGCCAAATCTAAGGCCATGAAGATTTATCCCTATGTTTTCTTCTAAGAACTTTGTAGTTTTAGCTTTCCCATTTAGGTCTTTGATATTTGTATATGATGTGAGATAGGGGTCCAATTTCATTCTTTTCGTATGAATATCTAGTTATCCCAGTGCCATTTGTTGAAGAAACTTCTTTCCCCATTGGATGATCTTGTACCTTATTGAAAATAAATCCACCATAGATGTATGGATTTATTTCTGGACTCTCGATTCTATTCCATTGGTCTATGTGTTTATTCTTAGACTAGTATCACACTGTTTTGATTACTGTATCTTTGTAGTAAGTTTTGAATCAGGAAGTGTGAGTTCTCCAACTTTTTCAAGATTATTTTGGCTATTTGGGGTGCTTTGTAATTCCAAGTGAATTTTAGGATTAGCTTTTCTGCAAAAAAGGACACTTGGATTTTGATAGGAATTGTATTGAATCTAGATCGCTTTAGTTAGCATTGCCATTTTAGCAATATTAAGTCTTCCAATTCATGAACATGGGATATTTTTCCATTTATTTAAAACTTTAATTTCATTAAGCAATGTTCTATTGTTTACAGTGTATAAATCTTATGCCTCCTTGGTTAAGTTTACTTTGACGTTCTTTTTTTTTTTATGCTAATCTAAATAGAATTGTTTTCTTAATTTTATTTTTGCATTGTTCATTGCTAGTATATAGAAATACAACATTTTTGTATGTTGATTTTGTTGAATTCTCTTTATTAGTTGTAATAGTTTTTTAATGGATTCTTTAGCATTTTCTATATATAGATACAGTCATGACATCTACAAATAGAGATAATTTTACTTCTTCCTTTCCAGCTTGGATGCCTCTTATTTCTTTTTCTTGCCTAATTGCTCTGTGTCTTAGTTATCTAGTGCTGCTGTAACAGAAATACCACAAGTGGGTGCCTTTAACAAATAGAAATTTATTTTCTTATAGTTTAGGAGGTTAGAAGTCTGAATTCAGAGCACTGGCTCTAGGGGAAGGCTTTCTGTATTGGTTCTGGAGGAAGGTCCTTGTCTCTTCAGCTCTTGCTTCCTGGTTCCTTGGAGATCTCCATGTATCTTGGCATCTCTCTTCCCCATCTCAGCC